AGCTGGAGTCTGGAGGCCTGTGATTTAAATTTAGCTCTTCCTGCTTAGAGTCTGTGTGTTTTCTATAAACCGGGCTTACATCCTGATAAGCAGGAAAAAAGAAAGCGATTATTGCCTATTTTGGCCCAATAGAAAGGGATCCAGCTGTCCTCCCATTCCATCCTGGTACCTGCTTCGGTGGGAGGCAAGCATGAGATCTGGGCCCGCCTTGGGGTTGTGGTGTGGCTGCAGATGGGCTGCAGATGAAGAGATCTGGGAGCCTTGGCCTTCACAGAGAAGAGGGCCTGAGACCCTCACTAATTTCTAAGCACAAGACCAACCACCATGGGGGCCTCTTCAATGCAACAAGGTTTTACCTCAAAGTTTACATGATTCTTAGACTCTTAACGGTTCTGTAGCTGGAGGACTCAATTAAAAACAGTGGGTCATTTCTGACAGAAATAAAGTCCTGACATGAGTTAACTTGTGAGGATTACTGGGCGAGCGGTGAGCAGAGAACCCAAGGTCTTGCTGTCGGGTGCTGCCCTGGAGGTTCACCAGTTAAGGGCTCTCTTCCTCAGTGGCCTCCCGGCTTGCGGTTTAAGCTCAGGCTTCAGCAAGAATAGAAATCACTCTTGTCTTGGACCTTGGAAGTTGCCTACTGAGGGCTGTAAGTTTTCATTCTAATAGGCAGCGGACAGGGTTCTCTGTCACCGTTGAGCAGACTGTGCGGTCTAGCAGCTGAGGCTGCCGGATCCTGGGGGATGGTTGGCTGGCTCCAGAGGAAACCAGAGGTGACCAGCAGCTGGCGGAGGTGGGAGAATGCCGGGTTCCAGGCAGGGCTCTGCGGCCAGGACCGGCCTCCTCGGCGCCAGGGGCCCCTGGAGCTGCTGCTGAGATCACGTGTCGCTGCCTGAGTCCCCCCTCAGCCCCCCTCAGAGTCAGGTGTGACCCACACTGAGGCCCAGCCGGGAAGCCCAGGACTCGTGCCTGCTTTCTGTCAGGGCAGCTGGTGCACGCTCGGTGTGGATTTGTTACTTGGCTGCATAGCTCTGAGGGGGGCTAAGTCACCCACCACCTCCAGGCCCGAAGCCTCTTACCCAGTCTGGGGGCAGTGGTGGCCCGCAGGGCTCATCGTCATTCACAGATCGGAACTAAAGTCGTCAGAACTTTGGGGGTCCCGCATGGTCAGCATGCCGCAGGGCACAGGACGTAGGCCTCCCTTTGTCTGCCTTTCATTTTCCCACCCATCTGCCTCCCCGGTCTGACCCCTGACCCCAGCTCCTGGGTTTGCAGCAGTGTTTCCCTGCTCTGGCCGGGAGCGCTGGGAGGAGGAGGGGCCCGGGGAAGGCTGGGGGGTGGGGGCGGGGCTGGTGTGGCTGGAGCACGCCGGGAGGCCAGGACTGGGTCTGTGGCCCGGGTGGGGGCCGGCGGTGTGGTCCGCTTGAAATCAACGCAGACTCCATTTGCCAGGTGGTGGCGGTGTGGTCATCAAGACGGAAGCACGATCTGAGGACGAGATGATGCCTGAGCAGCTCTACGTGGGGGAGTCCCCGAGCCAGCCAGAGTGTAGACTCCCCAAAGGGCCCAGGAGCAGGACCGGGGGTTCTGGCCGGCTTCACTCGGGGGCAGCGCCCAGGGTGCGGGCAGGGGACCCTCTGCCACCGGGGGCATCGGGGAAGGGGGGCGAGCCGCCTCGCGTCCTCCCCCGCCGGCGAGAGCGGGCCTTCCCCTGCCCTGACTGCGGACAGAGCTTCCGCTTGAAGATCAACCTGATCATTCACCAACGGACCCACGCGGAGGAGGAGCAGCGCGCGGAGGCCCGGGGCGGCTCGGCCTCCGGGTCCGGGGGACGTGCCCAGCCCGCGCTGGAGCCGGGGGAGGTGGTGGTGCCCGGCCCCGTCATCCGCTGGCTCCCAGCGGGGCCCGAGGGCCGCCGCTGCTTCGTGGGGCGGAGGCCGGCGGCCGCCAAGGTGTACCACTGCAGCGAGTGCCTGCGCTTCTTCCAGCAGCGGAAGAGCCTGCTGCTCCACCAGCGCTTGCACACCGGCGACAGCCAGGGCTGGCCCGCCTGCCCCTACTGCGGCAAGGCGTTCCGCCGGCCCTCGGACCTCTTCCGGCACCAGCGCATCCACACGGGCGAGCGGCCCTACCCGTGCCCCGAGTGCGGCCGCGCCTTCAACCGCAACCACCACCTGGCGGTCCACATGCAGACGCACGCGCGTGGCCAGGGCGGCCCGCACGTTCCGGCTCCCCCCGCCCGCCTGGGCAGCCCGCCGCTGGCACGGCCCAGCCCCTCCGAGGAGGGCTGACCGGGCAGGAGCCTGCGGGGCACCCCCTGCTCCAGGACCACCTCAACACCGGCGGAGCCCTTCCACTTGTGCCTGATGCTGGTTCCCCCTTCTGCGATGGCTTTGGAGAGATCTTTTTACATGGGAAGCAGTGGCCTTTTTGATGACAGAGTGTATGCGTGCCAGATGCCTCAGTTTCCTAAGTTTGTCACTCTGCTGCCTTTTCTACATTCCTGACTTACACAGGGGCCACTAAGGCTTAGGGGATGCCAATCTTTGGTGGGGGCCTTTGACGGGTACCGTGGACAGGCAACAGGACCAGAGGCCATGGCCTTTCAAGTAGGGGGTGTTCGAGACACGGAGAGCCTGGGGTTTGATTTTATACACAGAGGTCTTGGCCTTCTGTCAACACGAGAAACAGCAGAGTGGACAGACAGCCTGAAGAATAGGCACTGGAAATTTGAGTTTTCTACTGTTATTTTGAAACTTTTTTTTATGGAGATTTTCTAAGTGCTTCTGTAAGTATTGTGTGTGGTTGTAAAGGGGACCAAGAACTCCTGAGGGGCAGGCATTATTCTGCCACCTCCTTGTGTGTGGGGATGGCAGCGGGACTGTCCAGACCAGCCTGGGAATGCCTGTTGATGGGGGTGCCTTGGCTGCTGCCCTGGAAACCAGGTGTCTTCCCAGGTGTGTGTTCCTTGGCCTAGACTGATTCCCAGTATTCCTGGTCCTTTCCCCAGTGGGTGTTCACATCCATGATTGGCTTTGGTAATCAGCTGAGAGCGGGGAACTGCAGCCTGGAGTGGATGACACTTCCCCCAAGGTCTCAGTGTTCACGGGTGTGCATGCTCCATGGACTGGACCCCACCTGACACCTGGGGGGTGGGGGAGGTCAGGTGCAGAGCGGGCCCAGGAAGTTCCTCCCGAGAGGAAGATCCTGGTCTGAGGGAGGCTGGTCAGCCCACGTGGACTGTGGGGTTGCCAGGCCTGATGTGTCACGTTAAAGGTGGGGGTTGTCTTCTAGAACTTGGGGCTCATGGCAGAGTTAGGCCAGGAGATCTAGGTGAATCTTTTAACCACCTCCATCCTCGTGTTACTTGTCTGTCGAAGGTGGTAATGACCCCAGTGCATCCTACCTCACCTTAGAGTTGTCAGGGTCATAATAGATTTAGAGGCAGCGGGACAAATAGGAAGCCTGATTTCGAACTTCCTTTCAAGTTCAGGGCCCCCTTTCTCTTTCATGTTGATCTCCAGCCCTCTTCCCAGTCAGAATCACTCAAGAAGGACCTTTATTTTCTGGAGTGAGTGGAAGGTCCCACGGGTGCAAAGTGAGGTAAGACTTTCCCTTTGGGCTATATCCGCCTGGAGCCTTTTGTACCTGAGTGGAACAAATTCTCACCAAAGCAATGAGGTTCAAACTGTGGAGGTTCGGGCTATAGCATTGGGCCTCATGGAGAAGTCTTGATGGCAGCTAGCTTCTTGTGCCTCTTAAATCACACCACTTTGGGTGCTCCCTATAAACCAGCCCTTGGTCTGGGTGATTTTGAAGCTGGAGTGATGGGTCCTCAGCTCTTCTGATTGTTGTCTTATTTATCTGGCACTATGTGAAGTGTCCAGTGTTCAGGCCTGCTTCCAGGTGCCTGGGTCCCTGGCTGTGCCACTTCCTCTTGCCCCACTCTGACCCTCATACCTCTCCTAAAGTCCTGAACAGGGTTGGGGGCAGATGGAAACATTGCTGTCATCTCTGGGGCAAGAGTATACACGTCAGTGACTGCTCAGCCAAGCTCCTCTGGGCTTGGGAGAGGTGCCCCCCTCCCCTGCCGTAGATTCTGTTTGTCTGCTCTGGTATCCCCCAGCTCTTGCCAGGGCCCCGCAGTCAGGGCTGGGCTGTCAGCAAGTGCTCAGACAGGATGTGGTGCTAGTGAAGCTGCTGAGAGCTTAGCCCTCAGCTGCAAGAGCTAGTCTCAGGTGTTTCCTTGGAAGGCCTCAGGGCTCAGAGTTTCCAGGCTTTTCTAATGCTTAATGCCCTGTGTAAATACGCAAACTCTTAACAGAAGCAGTAATCACTGTGCAGTGGTGCTCCTCTTCTTCCAAAGCATTCAATGTGCCGGGCTCCCGGCTAGGCCCTGTGAGTTTGCCTGGCACGCAATAGGTGTTCAAAGGACATTCTTTACACTAAAATGAGTCAGCGGAGGCTGCGTGACCTGGGAGGCTGGAGCCTGGTCTGACCCCAGTCTCACTCCCAGCTCTGGGTCTCGGGTTCCTCATTTGTAAAGCAAAGTTGGGGTTCTGGTGTTAAAAGGCCCGTAAGAACTGTGACGGTGGTGAAACCTTGGCCCCATTAGTGCTCAATAAATATGTTGGACTCTGTACGTGCACGTGACCTGGTTCCTGCTCTCTGGGAGTCCGCGGCGGTGCGGAAAGTCCCCGCCCGCCACGCGGGTGGGCTGCTCGGCCGAGCTCGGGTCCGCATTCACGCTTGAGAGCGGCCCTCGCGCCGGAGTCTCCCACGGAGCCGGCGCCCACCCCTGCCCCGCGCCCACAGAGCCTTGGCGCACGCCGCGGGGGCGGGGCCTCCGGGCCGGCCAATGGGGGAAAGGCTCCGGGCTGCCGGGGTCGCCGCGCAAGGGGCGGGGGCGGAGCTTCCCGGTCTGGCTAATGGGGAGCCGCCTCCGGGCGGCGGGGTGGGGTCCAGCTCGTAGCCTGGGGCAGCGCTGCTGCTCGTCCGGGTCCTTTCTTTCCCGCGCGTCCGGAGCAGCCCGGCCCGACGGCCGCGAGAACACGAGAGAGCTTGCAGAGAGGCCGGGCGCTGGCCTGTGTGGGCCGCCCGGCGGCGGCGGCGGCGGCGGCGGCGGCGGCGACTCCCCCGCCCGGCCGGACAGTGCAGGGCCATGGCCGAGGCGGCCCGGCTCCGGTGAGGGCGGCGCTCACAGAGGATGTCCTGCCCTCACCCCGCCCCTCCTGGAATTGGGGAGGCTCAGCCTGGGTAGAGGGTCTAGGAAAAAGACGCTTGAGGCCGAAGGACCTGAGGGGAGCTGTCTGAGGTCTCACGATAAAATCCCTTCTCCTTTCTTGGCCCCGGTTTGCTCGCCTATAGACTTAACCACAATGTTTCCGAGGTTTCTGCCAGCCCTGACGTTCTGTGACCCGGCTCAGGGGCTCAGGGTGGGTGTGTGGGGCGGATGGGCTGTGACCATCCTCACTCCAGAGACACTCCAGGGCCCCCCTCCTGGACCTGTCTTTCAGCCCCCATCCCCTAAAATCATCTCAGGGAGACCGTGACCCCATTCTCATCCCTTTCCCAAGCTAAGATCAGTGCTATTGTCTGGTGACCTTATTTCCACTCCAGTCTAGGCCCTTGGCTTCCTCCCGTCAGCAGTCTTGCCTCTAGCTGTGAGGGTCGTGTAAAGCTCTTCTAGGTATGAACTCTGATTCCTATCAGGATGTATTTGGGTGTCTGCTCACTCTTTTCTGAAATTGCCCCGGGTGTCCCTCCTATTGCTGCTAGGAGGGGGGTCTGCGTCATAGAGGACTTCTGGTTAGTGGCTCAGGCTCAAGTTTGAGGCCATCCCTGGCCTGTGTGACAAGAGCTATCAAGATGAGATTTTTCTATGTCTCTGAAGGCAGAGGAGTCATCTCCTGGTGGACATAACTTTGAGATGGTTTTAGATACATTTCTGGATGCCAGATTTGTGACAGGGCACTATGGGGAGATAAGCTGTTTTGTCCCTAATCTGTGGAAGTGGGGTCTGCCCCCTCTAGGCTACACCTTATACCGGTCAGAGACCAGACTCAGAGGTGGAACAGTTATGCTGTGAAGGAAGGAAGGGACAAGTGTGTGGTGGCCAGTCCCTAGCACGTGTGGGACACTTGGCTAAGTGCTTTTATGGAGAAGGTGTTGGGGGGACCTCAGGTGCACAGAATTGGATTAATCACAGTCTTTGGTTTATAAACATTATGATCATTGGTCCACAGCCTTTATATTTGTTTTAGTGATGTAATACGTGCCAATATAATGCTCCCTGAGTGCTTTTCCGTACCTACAGTGCATTTCAGCCTCGCAAAATGCACAGGATTCAAATGGCAGGATAGGTGTTGAGTCAAGTTCTAGCAGAGTTCCATTTCCAGGAACGTTTCCATTAAATGTCAGTTGTCCCCACTGAGGCATTCATGAATTTCTTATTACTTCTAGTAATACATGGTACATTTTCCACCTCCCGTGGCAGGATATTCTTTGAAATATTTCTTTCTTCTGACTTCTCTTAAATGCTGGCTTTTGACTTTCTCTGGCTCCATCACCTGGCAGCTAGGACCTGGCCTCCTAGCGTGGAGACAACCCTGAAGCTGGTTGACAAGGCACCTGGGTCACGGGGACCTGATATCTCAGGCAGGTTAGGAGGTCACGTACTAGTAAATGTCAGGGTGGAAGTGCCGTAGAAATCACATCACCAAGGCCAGAACAACAGGGCCTCGCTCACCTCTGTGCCCAGGAATGCAGGCAGTAGGTTTGCTCTAGAACACCCAGGAACTGAAATAGCAATCTGTGTGTACATTGGTCACCTGAGAAATTTTCTGGATCTCACTCACTTCCTTTCTCCTGCTGGGCTGTGTTCTTGAGTGAAGTGGCTGGTTAAATAATTGACTAAGTTTATACCACTATTATGTGGTAGGGCTGGGATTCAAATTCCTTATACTGACTGTCCATTTATGATGGTAATGCTTTGTCATACCATTTACCATTACCCCTGGGTCTTGGTTCAAGATTCTTCCCACAGGAGCTCTATGGGGTCAGTGTCTGCTGTCTTTGACAGTCTGCCGGGTGGGGTCTGTTTGGAGGTCTGACCAGTGAGGCCTTCTAGCACCTGGAAGAAGTTCCCCCTTATTCCAGGGGATCCTGACCTTTCCGTAGCTGGGAATGGCTCTGGGCCCCTTTCCTGGTGGCTGACGCACCTCCCTGTGTCTAGTTGCAGGCATGGCACGTGGGGACTGACCTCCAACGAGAGGCCCAGATCCAGTGTGCAGAGATTTCCCTTCTGGCCATCTTGGCTGCCATTCAGGCTGTGGGGAAGGTGGAACGCCGGGCCCATCCGACTTCAGAGCCTGGAGAGGTGAACAGAGACAGCCGAGAAGAAGCTGGCTGACTGTGAGAAGATGGCTGTGGAGATAAAGAGTCCGCTGGAGGGCAAGTTGGGACCCTGCTGCAGGAGCACGGGATGCTGCAGAGGTGGCTGGAGAACATGGAGGGTCTGCGAGGAACAGGCAGCAAGGGGAGCCCCGCAAGGTACAGGAATTGGGTGTGGGTGGAGAGGGCCTGCTTGGACTCAGTGGGGTCCTCAGACTCATAGTGGAGGGAAGCCTGGTGGCTGCCAAGGCCTGACCTCTTGGTGCCTAATGCTAGTCACCAGTTGACTTTAAAGGGCTTGAAAAACGTCAGGAGGAAGGTGTGACACGGCAGAGATGTCTGCTGAGGCAGATGGCGTGGAGTTGGTTGGGGAGGGTGTGGCTGTGCAGCAGTGGTGTGCCTGCTACTCCAGGAAGACCTCTGAGCATGAACTCAAGTAGGGGAACTCACAGGACGTGTGTGTGCACTCAGGAGAGGGGATGAGAGCCTAGGAGCCCTGGTCTTGAGTCCTTTTAGCCACTGGCCTCTGCCCTTTATCTGAAGTAAACATGATGGAGATGCTTTTGCAGTTGCCCAGTGGTTTGGCCAGTGATGCCTTGTGGTTTGGGGCGAGAAAAGAGGAGACTGGAGCTGGTTTTAGCTGTTCTCTGAAATGGCCGGTGACTCACGCTGGCGCAGGTGACCTGCACTTCTAGGTGTGGGCGACTGCAGAAGATGGGGCCACATGCTTCTTAGAGTCGGAGTGGGGCAGACTGGGAGACAGGCAAAGGAGCTCTGCGAGCATGTCGTGAAGGTGAGCCCGGGTAAGGGGCCAGCCCAGGCGACTTCCAAGCCTGAAGTCCTTGGAATAAAATCCTTTATTGAATCAAATGAGCCTCTAGGATCTGAGAGCTGGAAGCACTTTGAGATAATTTGACTGGCCCTCTGTCTTCAGGCAGGTAGAAGGTATCCTTGATTCTCGTTTTTAGTTTTTATGAAATGAAATGCAGGGAGGTTAGCTGTCTTGCCCGAGGTCTCACGGAGGCTAAATCTGAACTGGCCTCTGCTCCGCACTGTCTGCCCTTCATGTAGCACCAGAGGCAGCTCTTACACACGCATCTTCTCACTTGCTGGCGAGCTAGGGCCTCTCGTTACCTGTATTTGCAGCCCTTGGGCTCACCGAGCTGTACTCTGCACACTGTGAGTACCCCAGAACAACTACTGAATGAAGGATTCTTTGTGGGCCCCAGGCCCAAAAAAGGAGGTTCAGTCCTGGAATATTAAGTTCTTCAGGCTGTGGATTAAGAATAGGTGTGCATGAGCATGCGTTCTTGTGTAAGACACAATTAGATCTAAGTTTTTCAAGCTACCCCACCCCTATTCCGTCCCAGCTTGCACACCCGGATTCTCCCACTGCTTTGAGCAGGTAAGCAGCTGGCTTGTGTCCACTCTCCCCTCCTAAGGGGGCTGAGGCCCAGAACAAATGACTTACTTGCCTTCACCTGGCCGCCAAGGTTCCTCTTCGGGAAGGGCGTCCAGCATGCTGTGAGGCTATGGGGAGAGGGAAGATGTGGCCTCACGGGAGGCGGGGAGTATGTGGAAGGGAGGACGGCGGGAGGCCTGCAGAGTGGACGGTGCACCCAGCGAAGAGCTGACTTCCAGACATGCCTGACTCCCCCTCCCGGACCTGTTTCCCCGTCTGTCGAATGAGGTGGCCGGGCTGTGACTTCGGGCTCCTCCTGTCTCTCTTGGATTCCACTTCTTCCCTTGTGAGGGCAGCGGGATGTGCCTCCCAGCTTCGGTCACCTGCACTGCCGGCCGGGGAGCCTGGGAGCACTTGTGCTCCGCCTGAGACACGGCACTTTTCTCCCGCACATCAGGAAGAGGGGCAGATCCTGCGCCAGACCCCTGGCTGCGGCGCGCTCTCCCTTCCAGGCTTGCAGATCTGAGCCCCGTCACCTCGCTTACGGCACACGGGCCCGTTTTCCTCCCTCATAGACTGCCGCCACCGAGCCTGAGCTGCAGAGGTGGGAGGGAAGGCCCTTGGAGCCTGGCCTCCCACCTTTGCCTGCTGAGGGCAGCCTGGTGTCAGGGGTCCGTGTTTCTGGAGAAACAGAGGGAGAGGAGAGTGGGATGAGCTGCTCGATGTCACACAGCTGACGGTTAGGGCAGGCCCAGGTGTTCTGGTGCCCAGGGAGCGCCTGTGCCACTTGCTGCACACATATCACTGTGGCCTGAGATGGCCCTGGGAGCTTGGGGGAGTGGCAGAGGGCAGACCAGACACCCAGTCCTGAGACTGAGAAGGTTGTCGTAGAGCAGGCAGAGTCCTGAGGGCAGACATGGGCGGGAAGGTGGCCTCCTTCTGAGACCTTCTCTGACCAGTATCTGCCCCCGCGTCTCTCAGCACCTGCTCTCAGGTGCCCCTCACTCTGCACTCCAGCTCCTTCTTCCTTCTGTCTTCTCCTTGGCTTCAGTCTCCTTGTGGGAAGGCACTGAGTCTTTCTGGAATGTCCCCAGCACCTAACACAGTGCCTGGCACGTGTGTAAATAACAAATAATGAGTGATTATTAAATGAATGATGAACCAAATAGGAGCTCAGTTTTCTTTATCTTTCAAATAATAGCACTGGATCTGATATGCAGTTTTCAAAGCTTTTTAAAGGCAAGGAACCCTTTATTTAAATGACAGCTAGAAACAACACAGGGCAAAGTGGGACTACCCTGGTTGAAGCAGGGGACAGGAACCCAGGAGCCCTGTTCTCTCAGGACATAAGGAATCATGCCAAGACACCTGTTCCTTGCTTTCTAGGCTCTGACATTTTATTTAGGAAGAAAGCCTTGCCTTTGAAGCAGGTCCTTCGAGTAGGTAAATTAAGTTACCATGAGCTCAGAGCCGGGAAGAAGGTAGGTATTGACCAGGGTATTGAGTGGCTGGCATGTAAGACTGGTGCTAAAAGTGGTATTTTCAGACTCCCGCCGGGACGGGGCACGACAGCAGGACAAAAGAAGCAGCGAGTGAGAGGCTGGCAGGCAGGGTTGCTCTTGTGGTTTCTGACCTGTCTCTGTGAATGCCGTTACTGCAGGAACCTGGGAGTTGCTTCCTCCTCTGTGGGGCAGGGAGTGAGCTGGGCCAGCCCCGCAGTCAGCCTGTAGCCACCAGGGCTGGGCCCCTACAGCAGACGTGTCAGGACTGGGCTGTTCACAAGCTCCTAGGGAGATGCAGAGCATGCAGGGCCTGGTCGAGGTGCCCCGGGTTCAGAAGTCCCCAGCCCTGGCTCAGCTCTGCCATGGAGCGGGGCTTTGCTCTCGAGTGAGCATTGGGAGGCAGAGGAATGAGGTCTTCGGGGGACTCGGCTACCATCCTGTGGTCTGGGAGGTTCTTGATGTTTCAGAAGTTACTTCCTTGCATTCCACCCTCTCTGTAATCTTTTCCAGATTCATTAGGAGAGAGCTGTGCTTCCTGCCTAACCCCCAGGACAGGCCCTGCTCCTGGGAGCTGTTTCCACACACTCTGGCTCAAACCTGCGGGCTGACAGAGTGTGTGCAGATTGCTTTATTTACTTGTGTTTCCAGGGGCAGGCTTCTCTTACTGGAATTCTAGGACAGGTGTATCCTGTGTTCTCCATCAGGAGGTCTGGGCGTTGAAGTTCCAACATGTTCCTCAGGGGATTCGGAGGCAGGTCCACATTGGAGGACCAAGGCTGGAGATCCCTCTGAACAGACTAACCAGCCTCTAACCTTTGGAAGTGTTTGCTTTTTGACTCTGCAAACGTGTTCTTACAAGAATACATTCTCACCAAGAAAATGTATGCACATGAAGCTGAAGGGCTTTCTGTGCTGGCCACCCTCCATCCCCAGCCCTCTCCCCAGGGTCTCCACTATTGTCATTCTGGTGTGTAGCCTTTCAGCCTCCTTCCTTATGCATTTTCATACGTGTAGGTAGTGCGGAAAAAGGTTTAAAAGGGGTTAAAAACCATGCATACCATACTGTATGTATCATTCTGCAGCTTGCTGTTTTCACTTAGGAATATGTCTTAGGGACCTTTTCCCCTTGGCACATTTTGATCAGCTGCACTCTGAGAGCCTGGACTCGGCTGCATGATAGGAACTTGGTTTCTAGAGCCCTGATTAAGTGTGGCAGCCAGTAACAGAAAACTACTAGAGCTCATCAATGAATTCAGTAAAGTTGCAGGATACAAAATTAATACACAGAAATCTGATGATTTCTATATACTTAACAATGAAAGATCAGAAAGAGAAATTAAGGAAACAATCCCATTTACCATCGCGTTGAAAAGAATAAAATACCTAGGAATATACCTACCTAAGAAGGCAAAAGACCTGTATTCTGAAAACTATAAGACAGTGGTGAAAGAATTTGAAGACGACACGAACAGATGGAGAGATATACCATGTTCTTGGATTGGAAGAATCAATATTGTTAAAATGACTGTACTACCCAAGGCAATCTACAGATTCAGTGCAATCCCTATCATATTGCCAATGGCATTTTTCACAGAACTAGAACAAAATATTTTAAAATTTATGGAAACAAAAGAACCTGAATAGCCAAAGCAATCTTGAGAAAGAAAAATGGAGCTGGAGGAATCAGGCTCCCTCACTTGAGACTATACTACAAAGCAACAGTCATCAAAACAGTATGGTACTGGCACAAAAACAGACATATAGCTCAATGGAACAGGATAGAAAGCCCAGAAATAAACCCACGCACCTATGGTCAATTAATCTATGACAAAGGATGCAAGAATATACAATGGAGAAAAGACAGTCTCTTCAATAAGTGGTGTTGGGAAAACTTGACAGCTATATCTAAAAGAATGAAATTAGAACGTTCTCTAACACCATATACAAAAATAAACTCAAAATGGATTAAAGACCTAAATGTAAGACTGGATACTGTAAAACTTCTAGAGGAAAACATAGAACACTCCTTGACATAAATCGCAGCAATATCTTTTTGGATCTGTCTCCTGAAGTAATGGAAATAAAAACAAAAGTGAATAAATGGAACCTAATTAAACTTAAAAGCTTTTTCACAGCAAAGGAAACCATAAACAAAACAAAAAAGACAACCTACAGAATGGGGGAAAATATTTGCAAATGATGCAACCAACAAGGGATTAATTCCCAAAATACACAAACAACTCATACAGCTCAAT